AGGAATTGGGTCTGCACTCTGTCACCCAGGAGCAGGACTAAGCCAGCAGGTTGTTATCTCCTGAGGGGTCCCAGACTGCTAGAGGGCACAAGCCAGGCTGAAGGACCCTCCTCCCCCACCGAGTGCACAAATTTTTGTGCACCGGGCCTTGAGTGTTATATAATTAAGGAATGTTAAGATAAATATCACATTATCTACACATTAAATATTTTAAAAATAGCAATTCATTGACATCCAGGATGATTTGTAAGTTAGGTTTTATCTACCTTTAAGATATAACAGATACAAAGTACTAACTGTTATGCCCATATTGGCCATTACTTTTCCACAGTAACTGACCACTACTTCCACTCATTTATATGTAATTTGTATCATACATGTATTTCTCTAGAATAGCCAAGTGTTTCAAATATGGTAAGTAAAGTCATTATTACTTTGTTAAAAATTTAGTGCCTTTCATTTATAATGTATTTTTCTTTGTTACAATGATATTGCTATATTTTTCCATTGTAAAATCAGATTTTCCCCTATATAACACTTCCGTTTTTGAAATTCCATTGGAAAGGCAAGAGCAGATGTAATTCACATATTAATGAATACTACAAAAGTCAAGGACAGATCAGGAAGTCACTTTAATTGAAGTTTATAAATTATAAATTAACTAGAGGCCCAGTGTATGAATTCGTGCACCAGTAGGATCCCTTGGCCTGGCCTGCAGGATCTGGCTGAAACTGGCTCTCCAACATCCCCTGAGGGGTCCCAGATTGTGAGAAGGCACAAGCCAGGTGGATGGACCCCATTGGTGCACAATCAGGGCCAAGGAGGGAGATGGGAAGTTGGCCAGCTGGGGAGGGACCACGGGAGGGCTCCAGGGTATGTCCGTCCCATCTCCTTTAGTCCCAGTTGGTCATACATCAGCAGCAAGCTAACCTACCAGTTGACTGTCTGCCCCCAGGGAGTCAGTGCACGTCATAGTGAGTGGTTGAGTGACCGTAGCTTATCAATAGCATATTACACTTTCATTGGTTGAACAGACAACTGGACACTAAGCATATTAGGCTTTTATTATATAGGACTAGAAGCCTGGTGCAGAAAAATTTGTGCACTTGGGAGGGTCCTTCAGCCCAGCCTGTGCCCTCTCGCAACTGGGACCCCTCGGGGGATGACCACCTGCTGGCTTAGGCCCACTCCCCGGGGGACTGAGCCTAAGCTGAGAGTCAGACATCCCTCTGGCAGCCCGGAAGTCCTTGGGGATTCCACTTGCCAGTGGGGAGCAGGCCTAGTTGTAGTCGGATATCCTTAGCGCTGCGGAGGAGGCAGGAGAGGCTCCCACCACCACCGCTGTACTGGCAGCCGGCAGCCTGGCTTATTGCTGAGCAGACCTCCCCCTATGGGAGCACACTGACCACCAGGGGACAGCTCCTGCATTGAGCTTCTGCCCTCTGGTGGTCAGTGTGTCATAGTGACCAGTGATTCCCAGTCGCTCTGCTGTTGGGGTCAGAGCAGATCTCCCGATGTGGGAGCACACTGACCACCATGGGGCAGCTCCTGCATTGAGCGTTTGACCCCTAGTGGTCAGTGTGTGTCATAGCGACCAGTGATTCCCAGTTGTTCTGCTATTAGGGTCAATTTGTATATTACCCTTTTATTATATAGGATAGAGGCCTGGTGCATGGGTCAGGGCAGGCAGGTTTGCCCTGAAGGGTGTCCCAGATCAGGGTCGAGGTCCCGCTAAGGTTCCTGGCTAGCCTGGGTGAGGGGCTGAGGGCCATTTTCAGACTGGCCACACCCCCTTCACGTGGGGGTCCCCACTGGGGTGCCTGGCCACCCTGGGTGAGCGGCTGAGGGCCATTTTCAGGCTGGCCACAGCCCCTTCAGGGTGAGGGTCCCTGCTGGGGTTCCTGGCCAGCCTGGGTGAGTGGCTGATGGCTGTTTTCAGGCTGCCCAAGCCCCCCAGCGAGGACCCTTACCCCATGAAGGTGTGGCCAGCCTAAGAGAGGGGCTGATGGCTGTTTGCAGGCTGGCCACAGCCCCTTCAGGGTAGGGGTCCTAGCTGGGGTGCCTGGCCAGCCTGGGTGAGGGGCTGAGGGCCATTTTCAGGCTTGCCAAGCCCCACAGCAGGGACCCTCACCCCATGAGGGTGTGGCCACCCTGGGTGAGGGTCTGATGGCTGTTTTCAGGCTGGCCACAGCCCCTTCAGGGTAAGAGTCCCCTCTGGGGTGTCTGGCCAGCCTGGATGAGGGGCTGATGGCTGTTTGCAGCTGGTCACACCCCTTCAGGGTGCGGGAAGCTTGGCTTCCTCCATCGCTGGGGCAACCAAGCCTCCTGCTTGCTCCAGCTCCGTGCCTGCCAGCCGCCATCTTGGTTGGGTTAATTTGCATATAGTCACTCTGATTGGCTGGCGGGCGTGGCTTTGGGCATGGCAATGGTATGGTCAATTAGCATCTTTGTCTTTTATTAGTTTAGATACTTTTCTTTCGGATTAGTATTGCTGCCATTGTTGTGGAGGACATCAGCTTCCTGAAAAAGTATCCTGGTCTGATATATTTATATGTATGCATTTGTTTTACTTTTTGTTTTTCTCTTTTCTTCAGTACAGTGCTCTTAATCCTCGAGAATCTTGGGACATGTGGCATCCCACTCTGGTGGCTGAAGCTTTATTTGCAATTGCAAACATCTTCAGTTCCCTACGCTTGATCTCACTGTTTACTGCAAATTCTCACTTGGGGCCTCTGCAGATATCTTTGGGAAGAATGCTCCTGGACATTTTGAAGTTTCTATTCATATACTGCCTTGTGTTGTTAGCATTTGCTAATGGCCTAAATCAATTATATTTCTACTATGAAGAAACAAAAGGTTTAAACTGCAAAGGCATACGATGTGAAAAGCAGAATAATGCATTTTCAACGTAAGTCCAAACATTTATATCAATAACATGCAGAAATTTAGAATGCAATACATTATGAATTTGAAAAATTGTTGACAAGTGGTTGCAAAGGAAATTATATTTAATGCAGAGAACAGAATTAACATGCCTTTAAATATTTAATTCATTCATTCATTCATTTTGCTTTTCTCAGTGCTTCATATAAATGATGTCACATCATATGTGAAAAGAAAAAATAATAAAATTATAATTTCTTCTGTTATCTTCATGGTATTCTAAGTAAATAGTCCTTTTCTTATAACTTTATTTTAATTGTTGACACTATTACAGATGTCCGCATTTCTGCCTCCCTTTGCCCACCTCTACCCAACCCCTGTTCCCTCTTTCCTCTGGCCATCACTATATTGTTGGTTGTAAATATATGTTATTTAGCTAAGTTTTAGTAAAATGATAATTTCTTTCAAAATGACCTCATTAAAGACACCTATATATACTTTTTTGAATTATTAAATTTATTGAGGTGACATCGGTTAACAGGATTATATAGGTTTCAAATATACACTTCTGTGATACATTTCTGTATATTGTACTTGTGCACACAGTCTTTTTCCATCACCATATATTTGGCCTCCTTTACCTATTACTACCTCCACACCTGCTTCACTACCTTACTTTGTCTGTGTCTATGAATTTCGGTTTTATATCCCACATATGGGTGAAATTATATGGTTTTTCTGACTAACTTATTTTGTTTAGGATGATATTCTCAAGGTCCATGTATACTCTTAAAATGTGGAATAAGCCCACCAGAGTGGCTCAGTGAGCATGGACATATGAATCAGGAGGATACAGTTCGATTTCTGGTCATGGCATATGCCCGGGTTGTGGGTTTGATCCCCAGTGTGTGGCATGCAGGAGGCAGTTGATGGATGATTCTCTTTCATCATTGATGTTTCTCTCTTTCTCCCTCTCCCTTCCTCTCTAAAATCAATAAAAATATAATTAAAATCAATAAAAATATAATTAAAATCCATAAAAATATAATTAAAAATAAAATAAGTAAATCATAAATAAAATGTAGAATAAAATGAAAATCTGTGTCCTATTGATAGCTTACACACCCATTAAAAATATAATGTGTACATGTAAAAGCAATTATATAAAAAAAATCCAAGTGCTTCTCAGTCCTTTTTCATGTGTTTTCCAGATGTTAAAGTCCTTTCATATCTCTTTGATTCTCTAGTTTTCCATACGAAAATGTAAGCATATAGAAATAATCCAAACCTTATTATGCACACAAAACTTTCTGTGCCCTTCCACCTGAGAAGCAATAGGCCTTGTGTAGTATCACCATCTATATCTTACAATCAATTTGCTGGACAGCACAGGTTCATGACCACTATGTTTGATGTTCACACAGCCCTCATACAATAAACTTCTATATATCTGTGTCCATTTTCTTCCCATTATAGTAAACAGTTAATTAGCAGATTAATGGAGAAGTTGGATAATTTTCATCTACATAGTAATCATATCTGAATACATGGTCTTTTGTAGTTGACTTTTAAAAGTCAGACCCTATTCATGGACCATTACAGAATTTTATATAATATGGGAGAGTACAGTAATTTTTCAAGTATAAGAAAATTAATAAACTCACATGAACTAAGTCACTCATGGTTAAAAAAATTGTTGATTAAATTCTGTCTTGTTTTCTCTTTGATTCCAGTACTTAAAACTCCATTTTAATTAATCAAGATCTGATTATTTGCACATGAAATTTTAAGTGCTGCCTTAGTTGCCTTAAATATTTTTAGAAATAGATTTACTACAAACCACGAATCTTAAGTAATACAAAAAGTCATTCCAGCCTCTCCTTGCCTTGTCAAGCCCTGCTCCCAGCCTCTTCTGAGCTTAAGTAGCCTTTCTTCAGCTGACCAGCTTAATTGGCTTTGTTGTCTTCCTTATATTCTTTTCTGACTCTGGACAGGGCAGGTTCAATGAATCCCTTGTAACAACATCCTTGTGACTAGCATGGTTTTGGACTGTCTCAGTTTTGATACCTAAACCTATCTTTCCCCACTCATTTGTGATCCTTGTCTTGGTATTTGCCCCTAGCAACTAGGTCCAGGGATTTACAATGGCCAGATCCTACCACTTTTCCCTAGAATTCCACCTCCAACAAGCTGCCTGTATATTGTCTGTCTGCTTACTGGACTGCTGGATTTCTGGTGGAGAGCTCTTATGCACGCTGTGTCTTGCACAACTCCTTTGCTACTTTGTACTGCATGCCCTGATGCAAACTGCTTGCCAAGACCACTCCATCTATATTTCCATCTATATTTGTTGTCATATCCTTCTGATTCCATGCTTTGTCTTCCAGAAAGTACTTCTACACAGCACCTAGAAGTGAGTAAACTCCCATGTCTTTTTTAAATTCAGGGAACAGCTCTGGTTCCAAGACCCCAACCCCTTCTCAGAAATCTGATTCATCTGCAACCAAGAGGATTATACTTAACCCCATCCTAATTTACATTCCCTAAGATTTCCAGGAATCCCTTTGCTTCATTGTAAATGATTGAATATTAACTAATTTAAATCTCCATTAAAGAACGTATGGCTAGAAAATTCTGATGTAAGATATCCAATATAAATTGTATCTTAAAAGCAACTGTATTGAATTTTTTAATTATGTATTATTTTACTTTGTCCATACTGATGGTTTCCTCTGTTATAATAAGAAAACAAAAGATAATTGCAGAACTCAAATATTATAGACCCAAATCATTCAACCTAAATAAATCGAGTATTCTACCTGAAATTTTTCCAATGTAAACTTTCAAGGAACAAATTATTTTTGTTCAAAATTATACAAAAGCTAAAATATATATTCATAACTTCTCATTTTTTAATATACTAGAATATATAGGATGTAGTAGGCAGGCATGAATGACTTATCCCTTAATGACCCTGTTTGGCTAAATGGATATAAATCACTGAGGGGATAACTAGTGGTGTCGTCAGGGCTCCTGCTCTACATCTTATTTCTGTTCTTTTGTTGTCTTCAGTTTTCTTTTCATAATTATATAACTGCTATAAATTTTAAGCTTTCACTCTAGCCGGTTTGGCTCAGTGGATAGAGTGTTGGCCTGAAAGGTCCCAGGTTTGATTCTGGTTAAGGGCACATGTGGAGGTAACCAATCAATGTGTTTCTCTCACATAGATGTTTCTCTCTTTCTGTCTCTCCCCATTCTTCCACTCTCTCTAAAAATCAATGGCAAAATATCCTTGGGTGAGGATTATTAATTTTTTTCAAACTTTCTTTTACTAACTGCTCTTTCAGAGATTTTATTCCATGTGAGGATTAAAAAACAACAACTAATAATTCATGTAAAGTACCTGAATACAGCAGCTGTCATATAATATGATAAAATGTTAGCTACTTTACTTCTTTTTATTATTAGTGGTAGTAGTACAGTGTTATCTCTCACTTATATCTCAAATGGTTACTCTCTTTTACTCCTTTCACTCAGGGTAAATATGGACGCTGAAACTTTATAACCTTGTGTTTCTCATTAGTTACCACTCCTGTTTCTCTTCTTTCTTTCATCCAAGCAGCCCTGAAATGAAGCCTGAACATGATACCTTGTTTTCTTGCTTCTTATTCATTCTTCACCCAATTGCAATTTGGTTATTGCTTTCATGACTCCATCAGAAATATTCTAGAAAATATCTAGAGCAGTGGTTCACAATCTTCCTAATGCTGCGACGCTTTAATACAGTTCCTCATGTTGTGGTGACCCCCAACCATAAAATTATTTTCGTTGCTGCTTCATAACTGTAATTTTGCTACTGTTATGAATTGTAATGTAAATATCTGATATGCAGGATGTATTTTCATTGTTACAAATTGCACAGAATTAAAGCATAGTGATTAATCACAAAAACAATATGTAATTATATATGTGTTTTCTGATGGTCTTAGGCGACACTTGTGAAAGGGTCATTCGACCCCCAAAGGGGTCATGCCCCACAGGTTGAGAACCGCTAATCTAGAGCCTTCATATCACCACTATCGATGGATTTTATTTCTTTACATTTTCTTCAGTATATCTGAATCATTTAACCCTGTTTAACACATTCATGTTTTAATATTATTTTATTTTTCAATTACAGTTTATATTCAACATTTTTTATTAGTGACACTTTCATTTTTGAAATCTTGTCCTTTTTAAATTGTTACTCTGCTTTAATATTTCATCTCTTACTTTAGTCTTTTTCACTTTCCTCTGATAATTATATTTCAACTATTGTTTTTATTTATTTTTTAAAATTCTTTATTGTTTAAAGTATTACATAAGTCTCCTTCCCCCCCCCCATTGACCTCTCCCCAGCTGCCCCCACCCTCAAAAGTGGTCTGCCGTAGTAACTATCCTCAAACCCTATTGCAATATCTCTGTGAAAACTCAGCTATGATTATGGATTTGGTCCAATGCCTTTGAGATGACTTCTATATTCATATCACTAGCACAGATCCCCACGATTTGCAGGTCCAACTGTTAGCTACCTCTCCTTACATATCTCCTAAAAATGTAAACCTAATCAAAGAAAATTCATCAGAGTTTCTCCCTCAAAAGTGGTTCCTCCTTCGCTCCATTGTTAAACAGCTCTAGCAAAATACACCAATAAACACATAATTAAATTTCACAACCTGTAATTAAAATTTAATTATGCAATCTACACTACTAAAATAGAAACATGTAAATTAACCATCATTCTGCCATTCTGCTACACCCACCAGCCAATCAGGAGCGCGTATGCAAATTAACCCAACTAAGGTGGCAGTGGCCACGGAGCTGGAGCAAGCAGGAGGCTTGGGTTGCCCCCAGTGATGGAGGAAGCCAAGATTCCTGCCTGACCTGGCTGGCCCTGGGCTCCACTCAGGCTACAAACTTTCAATTATAGAAGATAAATAAATCCCAGATACCTGCTTCCAGCCAGCCCTGGCCTCCACTCAAGGA